GCCTTTAAAATGTCAGTGGAAAAGGGCCAAACTTCTCTAGAACTAACGGTGGCATCTTCAGGAATCTCATTATGTCCCACCAAGAGTCCAAGACCTATATTACATTTATTGTGACGTGAGGAACAAAAAAGGCAGCAAAGCCTCACATTTAAAGAGCTGCAATCATAAAACATTGTAGTATTTTTGTTTGAAAAATGACAGAAATATCATAAATGTCTATAAAATGCCAGAGAGCAGTACAAGTGGCCATCATTTCCCACAGTCCAAGGCGATGTCTTCACCTGAGCCACGATGTTTTATTTACTATCATATACAACAAAGAAAAGCTGTAAATTTTCACCTCAGGAAATCAGAAAACATCAAATATTTGGCACTTTCACCTGATCAATAACAAAAACTAATATCTGATTAGGAACAATTCAATTTGATTTCATTTTCTGATCCAGTAATCGATGAATCAATAAATCGCTGCAGCTCTTCTGTCAACTTAATGCTTTGTTGTGTAGCTTGTCTCTCTCCTTATTCTCAGTCTTTAATATTAATAGTATGTGCATGTTTTGTGTGCACACATCCTTAATCTGCTCCCTGGTCCAAGTTTAGAACAGGACTTGTCATCTGACAGGTCTGTAAAAGCATTCATACATTAATACAGAAACCCTTGAGTTTGGCTCCTAAACGTTGCTGATGCTGCTCTGACCTCCAGCTGAGCATCCACAGTGACAGATGTGTGGCGGGAGATCCACCTCTGTGCTGCCTGAGGCTGCCAACTCACAGTGATGTCCACGACATTAGCTGGAAGCCTCGTCAGTTACTCTCACTACATAGAAAAGCCAACTATGGCTCTGCTCTTATTGATGACAGTTAGCATGCTAGGGGGCTGTCTGTCTGTCTGAAGCTAAACCGGGACCAGACCCGACCAGTGGACCCCTGATCGCTACCCAATGAGAACTCACAGCCAGTTTAGTGAAGCTAACGGAATGAAACCTCTGTTGGTTTTATCCTGACAGCCTGTGTAGCCTTTAGCCTGCTAGCATAACTGGTTAGCCTAAACACTGACCACGGGGATCCAGGGGCAGTTCACGGATTTGATTTTGACAAACAGTCAAACACAGATTTGTGATATTTTACGCTGTATATTGCAAACGGCCTATTAACACCTGCCTCTGCCAGCTAGCATCAATGTTGGTGCTACTAGCAAACTTCCCAGCTCAGCTCGATAGTTTGACAAGCGTGTCACAGCACACAAAACGTATTTCAATAAGACTACTCCGCTTTATTACGCCTTCTTTAAAAGGCTAAGGAGGTAGAAGTTCGTATACGGCTAGCTAAAGAAATGCTGAGGGGAACCATAGTGCTGTCGAGCTCCTTTTCCACTATCAGTGTCCATCGTAAACAGGGATCAGTACAAGCAAACATTAGATATGGTTAAAGGTCACAGGTTGAACGAACCGGGGTAAAGGTTGTTTCAGGATAATATCTCAAATCGATGGGGAATAGATCTCATCAACATGTTGACCGCTAACATTAGCACGTTAGCATTTGACATAGCACCTACCCGGCCAAACCTCCAAACAGGAACTTGATGGCCTTCGGAGAGGTCTTGGGCTTTGCCTCCGCCATGTTCCCCCGGTCGGTCAGTCCCTAGTCAGATTCCAGCTGCCTTTGTGCCCCTGGGCTGGACGGTCCACCTACTCACACGCCGGTGTAACAGCAGCGGCTGGGGCAAGGTGACTCTCTAGAGCAGGCAGATCCGGACTAGACACGAAACCCTACGGACCAATCGGGAGCCGAGGGCGGGGAGCACGAGGAGCACGAAGATCGACGAACAGCCACGAACAGCGACGAACGCTGAAGTAAATTCAGGGATACGATTTGTAGCTCGTACATCTGAATACCACCCTGAAAATGTCGCCGGACACCACGAAACAGCAAGTTAAAAAAAGAAGTAAAGATAAAAGCAGGAAATTACATTTTATCTAAAAGTAAAAATATTAAGGGGATTAGGTTAAAAACACAAAATATGTAGTGTTGAATATGCTTTTGATTGATTTGATTAGACTGAATAATTAATGAATGAATAATAATAAATGTTTCAAAGGACTAAAACACCACCGAGGGGGATAAATATCTCCGGCTCAACACCAGTCAGTCAGAACTGATGAAGCCTCTTGGATGAGAGGTGAAGTTTTTGTTTCAGCTAAACGGTACAATCTTATAGGTTATGACTCAAACCATGTACAATCAGTGACAGTAATGCAAATAATAATAACAAGAAGATTGTCAGGTGTTGTGAGATTGAGATTGAGATATTATATTATGAGTTATGATGATTAGCCATCAAATGTCAGTGTAAATTATCTGAATTTAAATGCTTTAAATGGTTTATTAATGATTACAGTTAAACAAGGAAATCTAGCCACAGGGGTTGCAAGCCAGTGACTTCTGTGCTGGTCCCAAGCCCAGATAAATAGAGAGGGTTGCGTCACGGAGGGCATCCAGCATAAAAACATGCCAAACTTAAACATGCAAATCATCACTGCGAATTCCATACCGGATCGGTCAAGGCCCGGGTTAACAACGACCGCCACCAGTGCTGTTGACCTACAGGGTGCTGGTGGAAATTGGACTACTGT